TACGCGTGGCATAGAGTGGGCTACTTGTAGCATTTCGGTTCGAGACAACTGTAATCTTGGTGGGTGTTGGACAAAGACACGACCACAGTTCTGTCAGAACGAAAATATCTCTCCAAAAGCACAGCCACCGCCACGTTAAGTTGAAGTACGCAGCCACGCCTACCACATCTCAGGGAGTTCGGGCGTAAATTGCGACGGAAAATGGGAGAATTGGCAAATTATGGAGAACGCGCTTCTCCCAGAACGTTGTCGTCGGTTCTCCTACTGTTCCTTTGCCAAGTATGGATGCAGGCTCAGTCTCCCAATCGATACGATTTAATTTTTTTAGCTGATCATTATGTCGCGAACTATGAACACGCCAAGTAGGATACATCGGAACTCGAATGAAGCAACCTAACCATTTCCTGTCTCTTGGGAGAACCGAGCAGGTTCAATGCCCGGAATAGATGGTCAGAAAAAAAATGGACGTAGATCCCATCCCGGTATCAAGCGATGAGATCGCCACCCCTCTTTTTGACCATGTGATTCGGGCGTTGAGGCTGTTCGCTTTTTCGCAGTAGGTTTCATTTTTTTGGTGTGGCTCCTCAGTCTCTACTTGAGATGTGAGGAGGACTCGCGCCATCAGGCCTCTGCGATGATACAGCCCTCGTCAGATGGTTTCTGGGATTCTCGTGTGACTCGGGAGCTGTGGTAGGGATTCGCTGCAGAACGACATTCGGGCATGTAATCAGAGAATGCGCCTCGTTACATTACTTGACGACCTTGGAGCGATGGCATTTCCTGCCGCTTCGGGGATTTTCCAGAAGGTGCGATCCCCCTCACCCCTCCCCAGGCGATGAGCAAATACGACTCCCGCTGGGGGTTCCCCCAGAGTACAAAGTGTCCTGCTTAGAGCTAACACTCTTCCCACTTCTAGTCGTCTCCAGGCATTCTTCACTTGCTTCGACTTCCCGACCGTTTTCATGGTCATAAACCAACACACATAACCAACACACACTGAAAATCACAATGCTCCCACTGCATTTTTTTCACGCCTGAGTGATATTGTTACTGTAAAACTTTAGGGAAAAATCAAAATTCAATTGCCGGTTGGCCTGTTGTGCTGAATCATACGAATCACCGGCTGACACCAGCATTCCTGCTCTTGCGGCTCTCCTGCGCGATCCAGCTATCCTAATTTTTCGCCTGTGTTGGATATGCTCCGCAACGCCTGCATAACTTCTCTTGCAGTTTTACCCCATGGTCAACGTCTTCATCCATTTGGCGATCAAAACCTTCCCAACTTTTTTTCAGTGATATCAGTCATGACGTCCGTGTTAAAGGCGTTAATAGTCTATTAATAGTTTTAGTTAAATATTTGTTTGAAGTTGGCTTTTTTTCGCAAAAATCTTTTGCACAGATAGCCCTTCATTAGACTTTTCTACACAACTGACACTACTTACATCCTCCACTACGTTGCCCCCCCCCAGATAACTGCCGCCCTTTTTGTCGCGGACACATGCTATATGTAAAGTGAGGACACATTTTACACTCAGTTGGATACATCAGTTTTTTACACTTTATATCTCTTATGTATAGAAATGAGAAGCTCCTTTTCTTCCAAAAATATTTATTGACGACGTTTCGGGCCTAAGCCCTTCTTCAGGTCACTGAATTACACAAGCAATAAAGGTCTTACACACGCACAAACCGCAACAGTCACTATTTATATCTCTGTTGACAGATGACCCTTGACAACACTATCGTTGCACAGATGAGGATTTGGCAGGTAAATCCCTAAGACGAACAGGATTAATACGCCTAGCATGACGGAATTCCGCGCCCCGAAGCAGGAGCTGCGTGACACTTTTCCCAAGAAAGGTACATTTTGTTAAAAAGGGGGGGTTCCTATCAACCTAAAACTACCGACCCGAACGGCGCACCGGCTGTCGCCCACAAATGGACCATCGTACCTGGTGCTCATGCTTCATTTGCGAAGTAAAATACGATGCCAACGGATTGATATGAAGTGGACGCGGTGCTGCATGGATATATGAGTACATACTTGCAGCCGTACCTACCATAGTGATTATTGGCAAGATGCCTACGAGAAACTCGTCCGAAATCGATTTTCAAGTCACTGAGAGTGGAGGCTTTTTCTTCGCCGGATTTCGACCGTTTCAGTTCGTTTTTTCCCCACGACATAGCGTCCTGCTAGCACTTTGTAAATTAACGAGTATGAAGTGATCGATGCCCATATGCTTTCGACCAAACCGTCTTTCCTGCAAGCCCTGCGCTATGTTCCAGAGATCCAACCTCATGTTCCTGCTTTATTCTGCCTTACCTGTAGATCCTCTCTTTGTTGATAGTTCTTTCTTGTAGTTCTATTAGTCGCGCTCTGTTTACTTCATAATGTGCCTTTGGAAGATTGTTATGTGCTTTACTATTAGTATGGTTCTTTATCGCGACATGCCTTCTGATGTCACGAGGAGAAACCTTAGTAATTGGAAGGTTTTCGGACAGATGCAGGGACACGCCTCCTTCCCTATATCCATTGAATATGATTCTGCAAGGCTTGTGGTGGCCAGCCTATCTGCAAGTCTCTCTTCTTATCCTCCTACAGTAACCTACCAATTCACCGTCCCCGGAGGGCAGGAGATTTGTATTTTTTGGACGACAACCCATCCGGGATTTGTACCTTAGACCGCGAACGTTGTAAGCATGCCACTTGCCCCTACACCAACCCCGTAGTCTGCTACGATATTTCAAGAGAGATGATATCATTTCGAAGTGGCTTCTGAACGACTCTGCTGCTCACACAAACACATTCATAAGAAATTTTATCCGAGAAAGTCAATGCAATAAACGATTGATACTCTCTTATAAGGCCTCGATGCATAATATTAGAATTTTCAGGAAACAAATATAAACGATACAAACGAACGCGACAAAACGAATTCAAAAATTTCGCTGATGAGATCGGCGAGCAGTTGCCGGGCGGTGGCGATGGAGAGGAGAAGGGGAGGGCGGGGATGTGGGGGAAGGACGCGCGATGAGCAGGACCTAGGTCGTGTCGTACTGCCAACAACCGCTCGCCACGATCTCGTTCGACTACGAGAGCGGGATACAGAAAGAAGAAGAAGAACAAGATTATGAAGGACTCACAACATCCTCATCAACAATACGACGGGTATCTATCGAAATGGGATCGACTACTGTAACCACTCGTTACAGCCAATCTTCTATTATTTAAAAATTCAAATACAGAATGGATTTTTCATCAAAATAAATATGAACGAGATTTCGGCGCTATTCTGCTGGACCATTTGGTTCGATCGGGCGGGGAATTGGATTGGTCCGATCAGAACAACGTCGTGGTAAAACAATAGAATAACATGTGATGTGCAGTAAGGAGAATGAGCGAATGGATCGAATATCCCGACAGATTCGAGGTTCTGTTCGAGTAACTCAGGCAACCTCTGGACTGAGTTGGATGTGGGTGGGCATTGTGAAGGGGAACGACGAAGGGCTCTATGGGGTCGTTGTGGGAACGACGGCGGATCCTGGGGCCCCTGGGGTCTTGGCGATTTGCGCCAGGACATCGCGTTCTCCTACACGGGCACACGTATACACGCTGACTGATCGACAACGTGGGAATAAATAACCCATCTGGGATAAAGGGGATTTGGGATAAGACGGAGCGAGAACCGAGATGGTGGGAGGTAGTCCTCGCAGTATGGGGGACAAAACGCGGGTCACCGTCTAGATTCTCGGGAACTCCCCGTGGGGCACAGCGGTGTGGGAATGTGTACACCTCGACTAGAGATAGAGAATTTATATGAACGTAAACGTAGATATAATGGAGCAAACAAAAGTGAGTGGGAATGACATGGTAAGGAGCGGCGAGCATCTCCCTGAAAGAGGCGGCGAGGACCACGGCGGCAACTGACGGCAACCGATCGACGACTTCCGATTTCCGGAAATGGATGGATGGAGATCCTCTCTTCATATCGACGGTGACGTACCGTGAACGCAGCAGAACCTATAGACACACCATGGCAGCACATTTAGTAACCTAACGACGTCTCCTATCGTAAGTGAGCAGATTGTAGAAGAGAAAAAGTAGTGTGAGGTTAGCAGCTGCGAGGAAGATCGGCACCTTCCAGCGAACCAGCCACGCCTGAAACAGAAGCAGGTTATTACAGTAGAAATTTTCAGTATGAAAAATGAAGAAGCATACCTTGAAGGCAGGATGAAATAGGTATCGAAGTGGATTCGCCCTAAGAAGAGCTTGATCCTCCTGATCGCGTAGCATCTCCTGGCGACGTTGTGACGCCAGACGAGCCGCATCCTCTCGGCGGAGACGAACCTTAACCAGTAAGTTTTCAGGAAATCGTGGCAATACCATCCGCGGACAAACTAACGTACCCCGCTGCTCTCGAGTTCGGCCAGATTAGGCAGACTACCCAGATTCTCGTTTGAATCTTGCACGGGTTCCGCTCCTGCTGCTCGGCGGTCACGCGATCCAGCCAAAGTTGAACGGCGATTCAGAATCTGAACAGGATGAGAGCTTATCAGAGAAAGAGAAATTGTTTCTGAAGCTGTTTTTGTTGGATAACTGCTGTTTTACGCCGCAGTACGCGTTACGAAAGTTATCACAAGAGTGCTGAGTTATGGGCAAAAGTCGTGCCCCAGGCGGGAGTCGAACCGCTGCGCTTCAAGTGTTCCGGGGCGAGTGGGCTATCGTTACGTCAATCGTTACAAATTGTTTTCACGCCAGTAAGCAGTGCAGCTTCCATGAGAGGGCAGCGAAAGACGACATGATCTGGACCAGTCGCGCACGGACCCGCCAAACTACTATGCCCCGAAACTGCTATTGCTTAAAGAGACGATGTCCACATTTGGATGGTAGCTCCTGTCGGAGGGAAGCATTGTTGTGTTAAACCATGGGGGGGGGGGGGGTTCGCACTCGGCCGCTGTGCAGGGGGGGTCGCATCTGCTATTGCTGGGGAAAGGGGGTCGTCTGCGGGTTTAAAAGAAGTTTTCGCTTGGGGAAAAATTTTCCTGTTGTTGCTTTTCGCGTGATTTTTTGCTGTTTCACGTGTATTAGTACTGTTCCGCTATCTTCTACTGCGAAGTGACGCAAAATTTCGTGGGTGAAAACGTAAAAAATTTGGGAAATTGGTGCGGTAAGCTGTTGGGGGAAAGGGCGCTCGACACCGAGACTGTCTCTGTAGGCATGGGGAGGGTCGTCCAGGAGACCTTTTCGGGGGGGGGGGGAGGTCATGATGCTGTTGTTGTTGGTGGCCTGCCGGAAGAGGCGCGGCGAGCTCCGTGTTTATAGGGAAACTGCTTATCAAATAGAAGGTATAACTTTTGTAGGACAGCTGCCCAGTGACGCAGTTTGGGAGCTACTATCGCTAGTTGGCGACACGCTTTTTTTGTTACACCGAACCTTCGCGACTAATTTCTTAAATTTTCGCTTTCAGGAAAACTTTCGCCCAATGGAGAGGCTGAAACTCCGTATAGCTTTCAACACGCATTGACCCAGAGCACGCCGCTCACTTTAGGATGCCGAAACGGTGGAGGGAGGAATAGGGTTTTGTTTGTAGGCAGGTAGAGAGAAAGGGCCCAAATCTGATCCTGCGAAGGCAGAGTATTGGTCTAGAGGCTGGTTTCGCGTACGCGGGCCTACATTCACCTTACCGTCTCGCGTGCACTGCCCTCTCCATGGTAGTTTGGCGGGGAGGAGGGAGGGCGGAGAACTGGAGGATTTCCCCGGGAAGTGGTAGGAAGGGTCGATGGAGTGACGAAACATTATACGTTGGGAAGGGGGGTTCCGGGGAAAAGGGTTGTGCCAGAGGAGGAAATGATGGCAAATGTTCGAATTCTTAGGCAATTTTACTCAATAGGGTGGGAGTGCCGCTGTATGTTACCGCTGTCCTGGCGAATTTATTCAGCGTCACTGCACGATTTCGAGGGCAGTGCGGAGTCCTTACACATACGGGGTGCTATTACAAGTTCTCTAATGGCCATAAAGTTGAAGTGAGTCGGCTATGATCAAGGATGGCGGCGGCAAATCGGGAAAGGGGGTAATGAATGTGGCGCTTACAGCCTTAGCAGTAGTGAGGTAATACTGGCTACGAGAACTCTTGGGGCATAGGTAGGTCTCCAGTCCCTTTCCTGTCGGAGGCTGGGGCGTGCAGGGGGCAGGATTTTGGGGCGGCGAAGGTCGTTCTCCACAACTGAAGTCCGACTGTCATTGATAGAGAAGGACTGAGATTTGGTGAGAAGCGGTAGGGCGCCGCGCAAACACAACCTCTGATACGGCCCAGCATACACATCCGACAAGACCACGTCCACAGGATGCCCAAGCGCGGCTCCCATGCGGCTGTGCCTATCTGTTTGATGCACTGTCTTGCGTCGCCTTGGCAAAGCCTGGGGTGGGTTACGCCATCATCCTTTCAGTATATTAGGGGCACAAGACACGCAGACATGATGTGGCTACTGCGTTGGCTGGCGTGGCACCCAGACTACGCGCTGGCCCCAAATATTCTGCTAGTTCCTGCACAGCTTTTCCTTTACAGCGCAATAATACGTGATATGAAACGTACTGATGTAGCGTCGTTCACGTCGCTTTGTCGCATCAGAGATGGGCGATTTCGACGAAGTCTTGGCTGCATGCTCGTGCCTGCCATCACATACTGATCGAAGTGATCATCACTAAATTACGTGAATAAGCACAGAAAGTCACCACAATACCCCCCCCCCCCCTCAAAATGGATGGAGTTGAAAAAACAGATCAAAAAAGAAGCAATTAAGTTACCTGAGTGAAAATCGCGATGAGCTCTGAGGATTGTTGGCAAGGTTCGGATTGAGCGTAGACGACGTCGTCGATTTTGGGGGTGGTTGTTCTACAGGTTCGGCCACTTCCGCAACATCCTGGAGGTGAGTGGTACCAGGTACGTCCTAAAAAGTGCCCTTTACATCACTCATTTACTCGCGGTCAATTGGGTGCTCTAAAGGGAAAGAGGGGAAGAAGCCCGTGTGTGGGCGAAGTAATCCAAATTGCGGTTAGTTTATTGACCGGAATTCCCAGTTCCGCACAAGGAGTCCTTCAAATGCCCCTCCCAAGTTGCCGGCACTAGGAAAATCACCGAAAATCTTAGCGATACCTCGAACTGCCCAGGCTGCGTGTAGTTCTCAGGCATCATATCCTCTTGCTGCTGTTGCTGCATGACCATCTGTGGCCCAGGTTGTAAATTGAAGCTGAAATGTAAGCAGTAAGATGGATAACCCGATCTAAGGAAATCTGTAATACACTTACTTCACATGATTGACCATATAGGTGGGCTGTTGTGATCCGATATGATTCCCCATATGAGGAGATATTTGACCGGATGGAGGGATACCCAATTGAGATTGGGGTGGTGGTCCCATAGGTGTCAAATATGACGCATCAGCAATGTCCACGGAGAGATTCTGAAAAAGTTGGAGAATTCACCAGGTAAAATCAGAGGGTGAAGGTGAAAGACCCCTACCTGCTCGAATGAGGCATGTTTGCTGTGCGTCTGACGCGAATAGGAGGAATGCGGATCGGAGATGTCCGTGCCGAACGATTCACCGCCAGGATTCTCGCCATAATGGCGACGACGTTCGTGACCTGAAAGGAATTCTGATAAAAGGCCCACAGAGCATCACATGGTCGGGTCGCGAAACCCCATTGATTCGTCGTGGATACCCAAAAAAGGAGAGGTAGGAGTCTTAGGACCAGGGCACGGTGTACATTACCTATCTCAGGGGTTCGTATTTGGTCGCTGGAAGACGACGGGGAGATCGTTCGGCCTCTGGGATGAACGTTTTCGATCACTGACTTTTTCTTGGTTTTTCCCGTTTCAAATGCTCTCATATACCCTCCCGCCCCCGCTCCCCTCCGACACCATTTTTTCGGGTAAAATGGAAATTTTTCGAAAACTGCGAGGAAGCTGGGGAAATTTAGGAAGATGGTGGAAAACTGCGAACGAGCTGAAGAAATTTATAAAGGTGATGATAGGATAAGGAAATGGATGGAAGTGGATGTTCGCATCACCTTCCTTCCCACTTCCTTCCCTTTTACGGAGTTTTTCTTTTCGAGAAGTTCCTCCACTTTTCCACAGAAAGAA